GGGGGGGGGGGTTGGCAGTGGCTTACGCAGGATTTATTTAAAGGGGGTCGGTCCGAAGGTGCGAATTCGATTGCAGAGTATAGCGGCATGATAACGTTTCAGTTGAGCTGGTGACACCGTATCTTTATAGCTCTCAGAAATATTATAGAAAGAAAGGCACTTTCTTATATGTTACTGAATTTTCCAGTCATCCAGCGGGTGCACACGACCTAGGAGAAAATAAATTTTGAATTAAATACTTCAATTTTCACCTGGGTGATCTATAGGGCGACCGATACCTTTCAACCAATCAAATTTAATGTCAAGGCAAGTCCTCTCAGTGGCGGTCCGCCATTTGTACTGATCACATGATATGATCGACGAAAATATACGCACGTTAAAATTCGCTACTTTTCCCCCTTCGTAACGGCTCGTAAGTGAGTGGAGATGGGTCCCAAAACGAACGAATGGTCTTCCTGTCTCTCAACCATAAACTATTTATTTGGTACTTATTAAAGAATAATATCGTGTAAGTGCTCGTAGTTAATGTTTGCCCAATGCTTGAACGACGACCATAATTGGTTTAATGACTTCTAAGAATTTTAATTGTTTGTACCTGTAGATGGACTGTTAAGGGAGAATCAAGTGGTATGTCTCTACTTGAAGTCGGTTTGTTAAGTGGTTACACGGTGGATGAAGTTCCTCTTAATGAAAATAAACTCATAAAAAGAATGGAAACAGCGAAGAAAAAATTCACCTTATATATTGATGAGGTGAGATTGATAATACTGTTTGTTTTCTAGTGAATTAAATTTCAAATGAAAGAAGTCCCGAGAGATACGTTGTCAACTTCTTAGGAAGCATACTTAGTATCGCTCTTGTGAACTCGCCAGAACTCAATATGAATATGATGAGTGAATGTCATCATTAAACTCTATTTTATAGGTGGGCAATAAACCAATATGTATCAAACTGCGATTAGTGAAAGCAGAAATTATTGGAAAATTAAAACCCGGTTTTATCAGCATAATAGATTACTATAATCCAGAAAATAGTGCTACAGCTTCTTATAAATCTACATTGGGTGAAGGTGCTCCAGTGTGTGCTCTCTGTCCACAAGGAGCCTGCGGAGATTGTGTGGTAAGTCAAAAATTCAGATCTTTACAGCTATCATGCAATCTGTAAATTTCGTATGTTGTCATATAGTTTTCGTTTCTCTTGGTGCATTTCAAATAGCTCTTTTACAATGAG